GTTCTGTTCGACTGATCAGAACTCATGCAAATGGAATTCGCGGAAGTAGGCTGCCAGATGGAAGGAATGATCGTAGACACATGCCAATACTCCAACACTCCATGGCAATCCTCGCAACGAGGGCGCTGCCAAAATCTAGGAGGCTGCGCAATCTTTTCTGATGCTGCTCGCGTTGCACAGATGAGCTGCTTCCATCGGACTGGTGCGAACGTTGAGTGCTGCGGTAGGACGTGGAACTTTTCGGCAGCATCAGACCAGCATCGTCGGGCTGGAAAAAGACTGCTGGCTTAGCACCCTCAAAAAGTTTCCAGAAGGATAGCAAAAAGAGCAAAAAGAACTTCCAGGGGGCGAAGACCCATCTGATTGCAGAACAAGGGTACTTTTGCTCCTCACCTGGTGCGCTGGGCCTGCCACATCCTCCGGCATTGAAAGCGGCGGAGGATGCTGACGACCCGCCTCTTGCAACCTATGGCATTGGCCTCTTCAGGCATCTCAACATCTCCAACCGGGCTACACAAGGTTGGACCTTACCACAAAAGCACACGGATGAACTTCATGTGACTCTAGCTGGGTTGAGCTGAGACTGACGGCAAATATCTGAAGTGCCAAACCAGTCTATTCGAAGTTGCTGCTGAGAATCTCTGTTCAACGTGGCTTGCCATCTGCATCGCCTGTCTTCTCGTGCTTCGGCTGGGTGTCAGCACCTGTAATTCGAGGACCCTGGTGCGAGAGTTCGTTCTGTTTGCCCCTCGAGCTCAGCATTCTGGAAACAGCTGCAAACCACATCCACGAAACCACATGCAGTCAGTTGACGTTCTGTTCGCACGACGTGCGTGGCAGCGTCCTTGCGCGGGCAGCACAAGGAATTGCAGCGACCAACTCGTAGCATACGTTCGAGACACGATCCGAGAATGGCGACCAGAAATCAAGGCCTAATGACCCGTTTGGAAGGCAATGCAGAAAAACATTTACTAACACAGTATCTGTCTTGTTCTACGGTCTCTGATTTTGATACCACATTCACGTCAATCTATGTCATTGATTGGGCTTTAGGAGCTATGTACGAAGCAGAGAACATTCGCTGGGTCACCAGTAACGATTGCTCACATCATGTCCTGCGCGGACTTTGTTCTACTGACTGTTGCTGTGGAACGAAACGCAAATCGGGGCTTGAACTTGTGACTGTTAGCCGAGCCCTGCAACCGCAAAGCAGACACGACGAGAGTCCTCACATTCTTCATCGGAGTCCTTAGGCAAGAAGAATCACGAGCTGCGGCATCTTGCGCAGTGACATGAGCAGGAAATCAGCCTTGAATTGCAATTTCAACCGCAGAATACAAGGTCCGTTGCTGCAAAGCTGCCACCCAAATACTTGGAGCTAATCCGGCGACGCGGCGAGCATAGAAAGACTTGGCTGCTCCAACTCGTGGCTGCTTTCTACATTATCGTCTTCTCTCGCTGGGAGTACATACAGCCGCGACATGTTCTATCCTAAATCCAATCCAGGGACAAACATCTGAGGTTTTATGCAGCCATGAGACTGACAAAGCCGTTTTTCTGTACATCTCCTCGGCAAACGAAGAGCTGCTTGCAATAAACGAGGCAGAGCTGTCGTTGGAGAGGACCGGGTCATCAGCACAAAAGTGGCCATGCAAGTTCGCACACAAGCGCCTGCTCATGGGTAATACCAGCCCAGCAGCCGCCCTTCTATCGATTTGGCTCGGGGTGCGAAGAGGAGCCTTGAACAAGAGCACGCAGGCACAAGGGTAGCATCCGTGAAGCACATGGCGGATCATGGCGTACAGATTTGAAAGCATTCACTTTTTAGCCGCATAGTGACTGGCACGATCTCTGTTCAGCACATCATCGGACACAAAGCTTAGTTCCACATGCAGTGGTCTGGAAGGGACTCTCCGCATACGTTCCCTTACCACAAGCTCAGCACAAACATGACTGCGTCCCAGGGACTTCCAGCGACGTAAACCGGTCGCAGAATGCATATGTCCGTCAAGTTATCGAGCAGCACGGGCAGGCAGAGTCAGAGTGAACCAAAAAAACTCGACAGTATAAATATACATGTATATATATATATATATACATATACATAGATTATGTACTATATATATATATATATATAAAGGAGCTTGTGACCAGGCCTGGGCTTCGACGGGCGAGCTCGATGCGAAGCGTGTCTGATCATCGGCATCTGCACCATCAGCATGGTGGAAGGAACCTTGAAATGCCGGCAGTTGTCCAAGGACATGCTGCGGAGAGTGTGAAAGGCACCAAGTCCTGTGAATGGACGCTTGAATCTACAATATCTTCCTCTCACGACCGCCGCGCTAAAACCAGAAAAGCATTTCTCATGCAGACAGTCGTGCAACTGCATCAAACAGCGTTGCACTGGCTCGCTACACTTCCGCTACCTTTTGCAGCCCAGCGACGGTCCCGACCAGGATGGCACCTTCAGCACAACAGTAACAGGTCTAGACTCCACTCGAGTCTAGGGAGGCACCTCTTGCTTCAGGGAGACTTAGCCAGCCCGCTGCAAGCGCCTAAAAACATACCGTCACTTGACACCAAGCGTCGCTTGTACGGATTGGCATGCTGTACCAGATGCAGCTCGCTCGTCTTGAGAGCACGATGTGGCGGCAAGGGACATCGCCTTGAGCCCATGATTCTGTGAGGTTCACACAAGGTCAGAGCACGACATCCTCTCACAAGGCTGCCGTTCCTTCCCAGCTCCAAGGATTAAGCCCCGCGCGCGGAAGGAGCAAGACGGATCCAAGAGTCGCGAAGCTCGCTTCCCTAAGTAAACTGAGCCAGCACGATACGGTTTTGACAAGCATCAAGCTTCTCAATCAGGCATGTTCGCCATCTTTCGCAGCTGCACGTGTGCTGCGAGCTACCCTGCAACATGACAGAACATTACAGAGCTCAAGGCACATGTAAAAGGTGACAGCAGCGGAAGGTTACAACATGGCCAGCCTCAGTTATCAACGGAACAGCTACCGGCCCCAGCGGCAAAAACAGTCACCGTCCTCAACCTTCAGCAAACACAAGCATCGTCGGCATCATCGTTCGATGACAGTTTGCTGCAAGCAGATTGTCTCAGCGCACTGGACCAGCACCTCCAGAAAATCTTCAGCGAACTGCCCTCCAACAACGACGGCCTATGAGCATTGATGATGGAGACTATTCTGCAGGCAGCGGCTTCGATAATTGTCGTGGCTCAGGTCATTTCCAGGCAAAACGACAACTCCATCATGTTCCCTTCAAGTCTGGCTTTGGCAGCACCTCGTCAGCTCACAAGCCTCTAGTAGCAGGGCTGTTGGGCCTACAAGGCTCTTTGTTGTCGCCATCCGTTTTCCTGCGCTGGAAGACGCGATATGTTCGCGCCTACTGTCAGATGCTCAAGCCGCTTCGTCTCAGGTCGGCGGAAGATGTCCTGCCAGGCGTCAGGTTTGCAAGTGTCTGTATGGCAGGTCGCCCACGAACCATGAGGAGCTTGCTAGTCACCATGGCAATCCAAAATCTGCCAAAGACACAGCCCAATGACAAATTTTGGGCTTCGACAAGTTGTGATTATCATCCTCATCGGCCTCCCTTGGAGCTTTAGCGATGTATGATATATGCGAGACAAATGCCCTTGTGCGCTCTTTCAAGTTGCATCAAACGACGAAAGAGAAGACTTGGGAGGAAGACGGCACAGCTTGTCGGGGTTGGAGAGCAGTTGCAAACTTCACGTCTACTGACAATTAGCAGTGGCACCCCGTCTCTCGTGCCACCGACTGCCTGTTGCTTACACCTCGCATAGAAAACAAGCCTGGCTGTGGAAACTTGAACACAGATGGTAGCCCCAAGGCGACCGAACAGCAGATTCGGAATGATTCCACAAGTCTCGCACGCGAGGGAAGGGACACAAGGCATCACAAGGCCACATTCACCAGCCGATGCATTCTCAGCTCAACTGTCACTCCTGTCCCTGCTGAAAGCTCCACGGGTTCTTACCTGAAAGCAGAAAGCACTGCAGACACTGCTGGCATGCTTCCACATGCTGCCAACAATGCGAGGGCCCAGGGGCCCGACTTCGCTGCTTCTGCTGTCAGTTCCTGCAGCAGCGACTCCATCGCCTGTTGATCGAAAGCTTCACTTACACAGCAGAAACCCTAGCTTTTCAAGCGACCTAAGGACTTGTTCAAGCCTCACGCGGCAGATCCGTCGCCAACGCTGCCTCGAGCAGGTTGCCAGCTCCTGTGACCCTGATACTTTTGAGTCGCTCGGCAGGCGCCTGCACAGTGGAAGTGCGATGACTGGCCTCGAAGCCACTCAACTTCACCTGGACATCGCTGACGACCAGACCGTGGGGAAAGCCCATCGGAATGTTTCACCAAACACTTAAGAGCTGCCAATACGTGTTGCGGGAGAGACCGCAGCTCTTGCAACAGAACTTGAACTGTAAAGCGCTGTGGAGATCCAAATTATGTGCGGCGACTCCCTGCAACCATCTGGATCATCTGGTCTCGTTGCAGTTGTGCATGAGCTTGAATGTGATCCCGCATTGTCGCTTGGTTCTACAAAATGAACGTTTGGACACGATTGGTCGGCAGGGGGTCTCGGAAGTAGACGATTACTGCGCAGTGGGTTCTGGAGTTGACCCAAAGGCATCAGAATTGGTCCCAGCCGTTTCTGATGCTCTCCCACCACAAGAGAACTGGCCTGTGGAGAAAGAGTCTTCGAGGCCTTAGCTGCCAGGTGGGTCGCAGGAAGTCGCAGGGGCAGCAGGAAAAGTGGATGCTTCTGGACTCATAACAGAGGACTGTGACTGAAGGTCGCGATCCTGGCGGTCTGCTTCGCATCACATGCTACAGATGGCACAAGTCGGAAAGTTGGAAAGTAATTACAGGCAGTGACAGCCATAATGAAGAGCAAATGCGCGCGGACCTTTTATCAGCATGTCATGGTCGTCAGGCTGTCAACGGCTTCATCTCTACTGCTCT